AGTTAATATAATTAGCAATCTGTTTGTAATTATCAGCATTAATTTTTGTAGAAACAAAAAAATTTTCATAATATTTTTGGTGTCAAAAGAAAAAATGATGATATTCTTTTACATTTTTTACACTAAAATTGATATATAAATCTAAAAACAAAATTTGTTATTAAACAATATCTACATCTAGTATGCAAATATATAGTTATTTTAGTTAAAGTTGATTCTATCCATCCAAACTCAATATTATTTAAAGAAATCTGCTGTAATTTACAGTTCTTTTCATATTTACTTATTTTATCTTATTTTTCATAATAATAATTCATATTAAATGAATATTTTGTAATTGCTTGTTTAAAATATAAATTCCAAAACAGTTTATATACCATTTTTGAATATTTTGTATATATGATTCAATATTTTTTGATTTATGTTCAGTACAATATGAATTAGTATTATTTATATGCACATCTAATAAACATACATTTTTGTCACTTAAGTTCTTGCAATACAAATATAAACAATATTTGCAATACTTTTGTTCAAAAAAGATTGTTAAAGAATAGCTAGTTTTACAATAATTATATTTATTTATATTATTACTAAAGGAAATAAATCAAATTTGTCCATTTGCTTTAATAGGATTAAAATCATGATATTCAAGTTTCTGCATAAATTGATATAGTACTAAATCCACTACATTTGACCCTTGTTCCCAATTAACAATATTGTTATTAATGAATATTCTACTAATAAATTTTTCTAAATTATACTCAATGCCTGTAACATCAATATCAATAACTCTTTTACATTTTCTACATTTAGACTGATTTGTAATTCCAAAAGTAATATTTGTTGTCAAACAATATCTACATCCTGTATAAATTATAAAGCAATATGAACACCATTTTTGGCTGTCAGATTTTAATTTTAAAAGTTCATTACAGGTTAAATAATAAATTGAAGTATCCCACCAAGGTAAATAAATAATTTGAATAAAATTTTTATCCAAAGTTGATTCTATCCATTCAGAAGAAATTAATTCAGACACAAACCAAAATTAGTGTCATATCCACATAACATACAACTAATTCTTTTATTATTTTTAATAATGTGATTAAATTGTGAAAATACAAAACAATTACAACCACTGCACCATTCCTGAATATTTAGTGTACGAACATACTCATACTCGTCTGTTTATTCATGCTTACAATAACCATTTTTACTAACAGCTTGCCATCTTAATTTTGGAATCAAATCCAAACAAATAAGTTACTGAAACATTTGTATTGGGAGAAAAATTACGTTTCTTAATAAAATAACATTAGATTAATTGATATTTTAATATAGTTAATAATAAATCTTAAAAATATAAGCACATTACAAAAAGCTTGATAAGACTACCAGTTTTTTAGATTCAATTGTTTTAAGATCTCCATCATCATGAAATGATAGTGAAAATTTTACATCTTTACTCAACGTAATTTTTGTATTTCAAAAAATAATCTCTGGCCTGAGTTACAGTATTTATAATTCTGCATAATGTTGGCCCTATTTTTCGGTGAAACATCCTTTCGGCGAAATGGCTTTCAGCGAAATGTACCATAACCATAATCATTTGGTATATCATATTCATTAGTATTTAATCCGCTTTTTGTGTTTTCTTACAATAGTACGTAGGGTAATAACCTAATGATATAATTTCATAAACATGAACAATTTTTTTTTTCTTTTTGCCCACTATAATATATTACATGTCAAATCGATCATAAATATTTTAAAAAAAGATTACGGATAACTGGTCATTGGTGATACCAATTCTCAATAACGCTCAAACTAATTACCGCTGCTTCCTTGTTTTTGAAGAGTTAAATAAATAACCAATTTCATTAAATTATTATGATCATGGCATAATATTGAAAAATTTTAATATTGACGATTATTATTATTGAAATATTTTACTTTATTCATTTTTTTAAAAAAACATCAGACATGCTATTTATGAAGTCAAGAAATTATGTACCTTCTAGTATTATCAGGTAATATCCATCATTGATATGCAATAGTTTATTAGAGGTCACACATTCGGACCAACATCGCAAGAAACTAACAACAAAGAAGGAAGGGAACTACATCCTTAACCTATAGAAAATTAAATACCTTTATAGAGAAGGTACATAGCCTTTGCCTCCTCCAGCAAAAGCAGACCCTAATCACTAAGGAAATAATTAACAGTTACATATTTTAAGAAAATTACCCATAATATATGGATAACAAACTCCAGCTTCAGTAAATTTGAATCAAAGATAAGAATTGATATAGGTGGATTAAATGTAGTGTGAGTTGACAGTCCATCCCCATCTTGTATGATTAAATCGCAACGGTTGGACGTAAATGAAATATGTGAACACCTAATCTTATCCCATTTCTCTCGGAACTAAAGAATCCAAAAAAAAAACAAATAACTAAATTAAACATAAAATAAAAGAATTGAAAAATAATAACAATGGTAAGACTCACCTCTCCAAGTTAAAAGAACCGAAAATCTCACTCTTAAAGCCAAAAGAAACCAGAAAACTAAATAAAAAAAAATAAACGATAAATTAGAACAAATAAAAAAAATAAACGAAAACAATAACAAATGATGAAGGCTTATATCTCCACGTTAAAGAAACAAAGAATTCTACCTCTATAAGTCAAAGGACCAAGGAATCTGAAAAAAAAAAAGAAATAAAATTATAACGAAAAAATAAAGAAAGCGACAACAAATTATAAAGACTCACCTTCCAAGTTAAAAGAATCAGAAAACTAATGAAATAAACAATAAATTAGAACAAATAAAAAAATAAAACGAAAAAATAACAAAAAACTCCCCTCTTCACCGAAAAATTCTACCTCTCTAGAGACCAAGAATCTAAAGTAAGAATGACGGAAAAAATTCCACCCCTTCAAGCCAAGCTGAAAAAACAAAGAAAATAAGAAAAAAACGAAAAAATTAGATAAAGAAATAAAGAATAAAAATAAAAATAATATAGTCTAAAAAAAAATTGGAACGAAGAAACAAAAAGTAAATAAAAAAGAGAAATAAAAAATACTTTAAAAAACCCATCGACTCAAGAACCCCTGTTGGACATTCATGATAATCACCATAACTTTAGCCGGTTAGGTGCAAAATTTCCGAACATGCCGAAAAGCAATAAACAAAAAAATTACTATGTAAATGTGTCATATCGGCCCATATGTCTCAAACTTTCTCGCATGTTCTCAAAATTCTTACATAAAAAAAGAGGCCCCTTGATGATCTTTATATATGGATAACGTTAAATTCTTTATTGTTAAATTAAGGGGATGCCGTTGAACAGATTTTCGTGATATAACGTAATTTTTCACCAAAGTGTATTCCAAATCAATCCTGCAAATTGTATAAAAAGGTAATGCCCTGGCTAGTGAATCCTTTTATCTGCCTCATGAAAGTAAATAAAAATCAAACAAAATTAATCAAACCAATCTAACTTACCATTATTTGCATCGTATTTTCTGTAAAGTAATAATAAAGTGAGTTGGTTTATTGCTCGGCTACCTTCTTAAAACATGTCATCACGATGTTAATCGATTTTCCATCACTTTAGATGTTCCAAAACAAACCGGACAGTCTATTACTCTTCTTGTTACATATCGGCATTTTGATCTTTGCCGAGAAAATCATCACGCGTATTTGTGGGAGTGATGTCGATATACATAGATATTTGTGGAATATTTATTTCAAAAATCTAGTGTAGATGGGGCTGAAAATCTCAATAGCGATAGGAAAAAAACAATTAGTATAGAAATTTATAAGAAATCTGAGAAAGCAAAGAAATAATGTGATGTTGGGACTCGCATTAAATGGCCTAGGATCCGCGTACTTCCACCCTCTTTGATAGCATCATTCATTTCATTCGCTTCTCTAGCATTTTTTTATCTGAAAAATCAATAAAATTTGCCCACTTCGGGAATTTGCCATTGAACATAGTAATGGTATATAAATTATTTCATGTCACAGCCAACTGTATACTGGAAAACAGCATGCAAAGACTAGGGCCTTAAACACGTATGTTTAAGGACAGCTCGGTAGACTTTCTCCAAGCATCTGAACGCAGGACGGTATGGCCTAACGACAGTAGGTATAGTGAACGCATCCTGGAGAAAACAGCATGCAGGGACTAGGGCCTTAAACACGTATGTTTAAGGACAGCTCGGCAGACTGTCTCCAAGCATCTGAACGCAGGACGGTATAGCCTAACGACAGTAGGGATACGCGTGAATGTGAGTAATAATTCAAGTTCGCGCGTTCGCTTTTATCATTTAATGCACTGTCACGTGATCATATTTGATTTGTTGATCTTTTTGTACAACACAAGCTTTATACCACACACCAACACAGGTGACATATTATGCAGGTGACAAATAGAGATACAGTACATAGTTCAGTATTCCTTGGTTTCCTTGGTTTCCTTAACGTACACTGGGGGCGTACGATATTAACGTACGGAACTAGCCAGAATTAACGCACGTGCACGTGCATAACTCCTAAACTCGGGCCGCCAGGTGTACGTTAAGATTGTAAACCCCCCGGCAGAGACCCGGATTTATTCCGATATTAAATCGCAAATTTTTATCACGATAACGAAAAAAATTCCGATTTTATTCCGATAAAAAATTACCAATTATAGTAAGAAACATTTGATAATTCTAGCCGGCCTAAATATTAATGCAGGCCAACTTAGGTTGCGCTAGTGACACAACAATAATTTTTAGTCAAAAACTGTATAGATATTGCAAAATTGCAAAATCACATTTTTTAGTTAGACTTCTATCAATAAAATATGCAATAATGATTGGCTAGTTGTCACGTGCCGGAATAAAATTGTTAAAAATCATAAAGATTCCGTTTTATTCCATAATACAGCAAAAATTCTGATTTATTCATTAATTATAAAAATGGAATTTTCCCGGGTCTCTGCCCCCCGGCCTCCGTAAGATAAGGACGCCCGAGGTGGTAAGATCATTCCACAAAAGGTTAAAAATTATGAATCGTCTAACTATTTATGTGACAATTGATTTCTATATATATTCCCAAATCCCCATTCCCACTCCCATTCCCAGGCTTAGAACGCGTTCTATCATTTCAAAATTATTGACTCGCAACGGTAATCACTTTATAAAAATTTTCAATTAATTCTGTCAATATGTTTCAAGTGGATAAACAACTCAATTATCTGCACTTATTTTTAGATGTTTGAATCTATTATAGTGGAGTATCTCGACAATACATTAAGTAAAAAATATTCTATCATGGAAATTTTAAAATTTGCACGACCTAATTATCCGTAGATACTATAGAAGATTTCAAAGATGAACTATACGCAATATTACAACGGTATAATGATAAAGTTAATGTTCACGCTAGCGCACGGAAAAAAGTGAAGAAGTTATTAGATAATTTTAATTCATCTTTCTCATCTGTCGAAATGAGGAAATTCGTTTACGAACTTGAATATCACGAGGAAATGAGAGTAAATGTCACTTCCGCCTACACAGTTGAAGTAATAAAGGTAAGTTTAAGGAAATTCGGAAGAAAGTTCCGTGATGGGTTGACTCATCAACAATTTTTCAGGATCAACGAGAGAATCAGGAACGTATTAATCAGTTACGAAGAAATACAAGTGAAAACCAATTTTTATATTACTTGCCGGTATTCCATGTCCAAAAAGGCCCAAAAACTACCTAAAAAAAAGAAGAAAACCGACCAGTTAATGTTCGTTAAATAAAAAATAAATTTTAAGTTAATTTTTACTTTCCGGTATATATCCACAGTGGCTTGAAAAAAACTGCCTAAAAAAGAAAGAATCTTTAACATAAGGATTTTCACTAGTAGCAAACCGCTAGATTTGGAGAGTTATGTAAATAAATATACTTGTCCCGTATATTATAATAAAAAATTTCATTCGCCAAGCAAAAATCCATATGGCCCTTAATTCTAGCCGATATTAAAATTCTGGCGGAGTTAACATCTTAACTCTGGCAAAATTTAATTTTCGGTTGGAGTAATTACCCGGGGCAGTGATGCCAACTTAATTGAAACTAAATGATAAAATAGTTTAAACATTTAGAGTTTTAGTATTTGCTAGTTGTTGCAGCTTGCAATTGTTAAAAGCTGTTATAAAGTTAAATTCTTAGTTAAAACCTATGTTTAAAATAAAAATTAAACTTTTGTATATAATTTGTTTGATGACATTACATTCTTTGATAGTATATATAATTTTTCGTTATAGATTTATTTCATAATTCATTAAAATGACTGAAGATGCAACTTCAAATACATCTTTAAATATGACATCTCAAGCTGATACACATATACCCGGGTATAGTGATGCCGACTTAACTGATGAGTTTTAACATAATTATAATTAAGGCAAAAAACCAACATTGTTGAAATTGTTTAAACTTGTTAAATCATATGCTCTTCCAATTTTATTACGTAAAGCAATTTATTATTTAAAAATGTCTACATTTTTTATTAAATTTCTTTGTTAATGTGATCTAATTACGCGTCAATCTTACAATCCTCTTCAAACATTCTATTTACTAAATCCTGAACATTATAATTCATATTTCGATTTGTATATTTATATTATTGTGCATTAATATATTAGTTTGAAATTAAGAAGTTCGATCAATGAATTCTGAAATTACAAGAGTATTATTTGTTACACTAAAAGCTTGGTTTGGTTTTCTAATTGTGAAGGCCCTTCATGGATTGAAATAAATGTTCATCTTATGGTTCCATTTACCGAATCTCTTAATTCTTGTTGAGACAAATCTTTCCAACATGTTAGTCTATTCTGGCGATCTCCAAAGAACCATCCAAGAGTAGAAAGTTTCTTTCGTCATCCTGCTTGGGAAGGCATTATTAAAAATAACTGCAGTATCAACTAAATTAGAGCTATCATTTTCATCAAATGTGAGTCACCAATCAAGTGGAGTTTCACGCTCGCTTTCATATTTCATATCATGTGGATCTTCATTCCGTTTGTATTTTCGAAGATCAGCTAATAAATCTGAACATCTGTTCTCTAAGTCGACCTTCAGCTTGTCGCTTACGTTTTTCATTTTGATTCTACTGTTCTTTAAAATGTGTATCAAAAATTTGTTTTCGTCAAAAACTGTGAAATAATAAAAAAATTCTAATAAAGGTTATATTAATATGTAACTAAAAGAAAGAATAAACAGTTGGTAATGTTGTCGTTCATCAAAGTTAACTTTTCTATATACACTTTTTGAATTCTTCCACCTTTTGTTTCGTCCTAGAATTTGTGGACATGATGATCGATGAACACAAAACGGATACAAAACGGGTATTACCCATTTTACCCATTTGCTATTCCATGACCCGGATACTCATAAATACCCGAGTATACACGGATTGTATCCGGGTGAACGGGTAACGGGTCGCAGCTATAATTCTGTGTACTATGTAGGTCATTATTTTTGTGAAAGCCTTTTTCAATAAATGGGCTGAAAAAAGAATTAAGGTTGGTATTACAATGCATAATAACAATTCGTCCTTTGTAAATAAACTATACAATTTATCCATATTTGGTTATACATTAAAAGAAAACTAAATATTCTCAAATATATTAATATTGTTTGATTTCAAGAGGGTATCGCGATATCATTAATTGCAGATCATGCAACTTCCTAGTAGATAAGCCTAATAAGAATTTGTATATGGAGATCAATGTCGGAACTACTTATTCAAGTAAGCTCAATTTCCACATTTTAATATTGTTTTGCTATCTTTTATCTGTTATTGTTTACGAGTGACACATTTTTGAAAACATGGTTTGGTCACAAGTTTCATGATCTAAACCTTTGAGTTGGCATATGTACTACCATAATTTTATTCAAATATACTCTACAGTGCTCATTTTTTCCTACTAATCGTCTTTCTTGCAAAAAGAACGATAAAAAAATTATTAGATATCGACAAATAATAAAATTTCCATAAATGTGTGATCAAGTAGGAATTATCACAAGAGAACAAATCGCTCAAAAACTTAGTAAGAAACGGGAAGATGGTCCTAAATATTTTTTTCTTCTTATTACAACTACACGTCCGCCGACGAACACGAAGGAATATTTAAACTTAATAGAAACAGCTTTGGCTCAGAATAATGAAAGTGATTGGAAGAAAGTAGAAGATTGTCAAAATGTCCGGCTTTACTTTGGTCAATTTCTCTCTCATGCTGATGCTGCAAATGACAGGTTGGTCGACTATATTTAATTTATAATTTGAATTTATTGCACACATTAATTCTATTATTGTTATTAGATTAAGAATTAAAAAATATCTTAAAGGTCAAGTAGAAAATTCAAAACCTCATCTGATTCTTTCTGAAGCTTTCAATTACTTGCCAGAGCACAAAGAACAATCGGAAATTAAATAACGAGTTAATCCATAAACAATTATGTTTTTCTATATTTGTAATAGTTATAGCAATTTTATGTTTTGTTGGTTCATGTTATTTTTTTTTTTTCGGTTTTGGCTCTAATATTTACCAATTAATTATTTTTAACATTACAATAAAACTAACTGATTATACGTAGTTGTGACAAGTTGAACGATGATGATAACGTACCTAATATTGTCAGAATATATAGTAAAATAGTACTGTACGGTACTACAAATTTGGACGGATGTTCGAAAGAAATTTTTTAATTTTTCCGTACTTAGACGGACTATTAAAAATAAATTTTTATTTTCCGTACTAATAATTTTACATCGTAGCATCATATGATAGAACTTTCGATAATGAAAATGTTACAATTACATAATATTGAGTAACATAATTGAATATATTTGTAATGTAATATATTTGTCATAAATATCTCTTTTTAATCTTTACTGCTTTGAGAAGAAAAATAATTGTAAATATGAATATTCCGATGTTGAAAACTTTCCAATTGAATTGGTAAATTCTGAATTTGAACAGGTTTATATAATTATTATGACTCTATGAGTCAATTTTATTATTATAGAGCTTATCTTCAAAGAGTATAATTGATATATTTATATTTTTTAACATAAAGTATTTTATTAAAAAAACAAGACATGTATGAAAATTTTAAATTGTACGAAAATTCAAAAAAGAACGAAAATTTTTAAAGCATTCGTACGTACTAGTATAAAAAAATTTATCTGTTAGAAACGTACGTACGAACAAAAAGGGTTAAAGTCAGTCCGAATTTGTATTACCGTACAGTACTACTTTGCAAAATACCTATATTGTCACTGCCAAATATTGATGTCAAAGTATACGATTAAAGTATCACCCGCCGACATACAGTACATTTAAATAATTTTGCAACTCTTGAAGAAATTTTCCTCTGCGTCTTTGCATTAATAAATTTGCAATTTTCAATAATAATTATATTTGAGTTACAATGTAACGCTAAAAAAAGTTGACGGTAACAATTTTCAAAATAAGCCATAGTTTAATTTGATTATATAATTAAGCCTAATTGCTAATTACTATTTACTAACATGCCCATTAAGCATAACACTTTAGATTTTATTTTTATATTATCATACTACAGGTTAAAAAAATAAACATACAATATATTTTTACTTCTTTAAAATTAAACCAACAGTTCTATCACGGGATATCAAAGCATGCTGCGCCTGAATGGTAAGCTAAATATTATTTTATCATGTGATTGTGAACATCCGTTAGAGGTAAAGAGGTAAAGAGAAGATAATTTTAATTTTAGTTAGTGTCTTACATGTAATGCAAAACATTTTCAACAAAATTTCAAAAACTGGACAAATGGTAACAGACATTTGACGGCCAGCAGGTGAATATTTTTTTTGAAGTATTGGAGCGGATGCCTTACGAAAGAAAGATTTTATTAAATTTATTGTAAAAGATGGGTTGGTAAAGTTTATAAAGCAAAATGGGCCGATGGATTGATAAAATATGAGACGATAAAAAACGAGATTAAGAAAGGTTTTGTGCCTGGAATATTTAAATGATTTAAAAGATGTTTCATTAGAATTAATCCATGAGGTCGGTATATGTAAATTATCTATTATTTGATTAAATTCTAGTAATCATTTTTATTAATATATTTTCATTACATTACGTATCTTAATTCAGGATCTATTATTAAGTTCTGTGGGATAACTCAAGAACTGAAACACAAAATTATACGATTGTTTAGATTATGCAGAGTATGGAAGGTTACAACGTTATGTAGTTCAAAATAACTTAAATTGGGAAAAGAAGATTCGTAATATGCATCAATTGCGTTTAGGCTTGGTGATATCTATCAAGAAAGATTTATCTGTTCACAACATATTGAGATTATGTAGATCTGCAAATTAGAGAAAAAAAATATACCGAGACTGCTATTTATAGTTTTGGAAACCCGAGTAAGGGTCTCCAAGTGTATTAGTATCCCTAGAAGTAGCAGGATTTCTCGCATAATTATGTATAAAATAATTTCTGTTATCGCGATGTAAGCCACAATGAATAATTAACTGTAAGTATTCGTGTAGGACTTAGGTTAAAATTGCATCAATTAATTATGGTTTAATTAACGGATGTTTGTTTAGATGCAAATCCTTCATGTTGACCAACAGCAGAAGAAATTAAAGCACATGGTTGAAAAATTGATGATAATATGAATAATGAGTGTATTAATTAAACAAATTAGAAAACAAATTAGAAAGCAGAAAAGTCAATAATCAACATTTCTCACTTAGTTTCAATAATCTTTCTGAATCAAGAAAATTCTGATGTTCGTATAATTTATTTTTCCGTATATGAAATAAAATGACAAAATTCAAATCTGTTGACAAAATACAATACACTCAATATTGTGTCTAGTTTTTATTGAAAGTTGCACAAAACACAGTGTCAGAAAATAAATAACAATTCATAACATTAACCTAGTAAAGCCCTGCCGAAGGTATACAAAAAGATGGTCATTAGTTTGCAAGCTCTGAGATCGCTTTTTTGGTCACAGCCGAAACATTCATACCTTAATTGCGTATTACTCGTCCAGGCTTCAACGTTTTTAATAATTTTCTCGCCCATGCTTCCTTCAAACTACGTCAACGAGTTCAGGCTCGGGGAAAAAATACAATGGTTTTAGTTATCGGAGTAAGAAAAAAGTTATAATAACGTAAGAAATATTAGTTACTGCGCTTTATTTTTTAAATATCATGCATATGTCTTCACATTAGTCAAATATGGTTTGTAATTTAGTGAAAAATCAAATTTAATTTTTTATACCATGCGAAAATCGCATAATTTGTATTATATGTTATTTGCATATTTTATGACTGTTAAAATAAATAGAAAATTTTATTTTGCTAAATATATCTTTATATAAAAAATCATGATAAATACTCCTGAGAATTTTCATACATATTAATCATTGCATAAATTTTTATAACGTTTATGGTATTTTTCAAAGTTCTGTATTGTCATTATAAGCCACTGATCAAGAGTCTATTTTATTATTAGTCAAGAAAGTTTTTACAATATATACCCTCAAGTTCACATCCCCAAAAATATTATATACAACGCGTCTAAAAAATTTTTTCTCAAAATTACATCTCGATAACAATGTGAGTTTTGAGGGATGGAAAACATCCTTGAAGCCCGAGAATTTCAATCTTATCTCCATTCTGAAGTTCCGTCAAACAAAAGATGGCTTCTCGTTTAACAAGTCGGTTGAGTATAAAGTTTGTTTCACATGTTGCAGACACAGGTATTGAAAAGAAAAAAATTCAATAGGAGAAAAAGTTAGCGGGAAGGAGTTGGGCGATGCCGAAAAAACCACCTAAGCGACTTGGCAACTCATCAGGTTAGTATCTCCGGTGGGCTCCATCCTAAGTTTGTGTAAAGGCCAAAGGCAATACATCTTAGTGCCAAGAGCAACTCGTTCATTCACAACCCCTGGCGACCTGTTTCTTTTTTTCCTATTAAATTTTCTTTCTATGTTTCCTTCTTCAACATTTTCAGTATTTTGTTTGTATAAGAGATTGTAATCATTCCGGGATAATGGAAACATCAAAACAAGTACACAGTTAATGGTGAAGAAGGGCGGTCAAATTGAGGTATTTTCGTCTAATTACTTACACTAGGGCTTTTGATATGGTGATCGATGTTTCATTTGATGAAAATGTGACATTTTTTCATTTCAATTAAGTGGAACAAGTTCAGGCAACCAATAATGCCCCAATTCAGATGAATGTAATTCAGAATAACTTTGTCAACAGGAACTGTCTGAGGGGACGCGACTATGACCTACAAGTTGATGAGAAAAGTTATCGACAGGATGAAGAATTGACAACAGCCAAGATAAATGAAATCACAGTACGTTGTAACTGAAGGTGTCTACAGGTTTATTATATTACTGGCACAATCATTTGAATTAACTCAGATTCGGAAAATGATTTGAGAGAAGCGACTGACTCAATAGTTGGGAAAGTAGAAAGAATACCATTGATGGTAGACAACATTGATCTGGAAGAAATTTTCATAGATTATTGCGATAGATGCGAAACATCTTTGAGTGAGTAGAATCAGTTTCTATAATTGACATGAATCTCAATAATAGTCTTATTATTATCAATTATACTAGTTTATGTAATAGCGATATCATGGATATGAGACCTAGTTCACACTTCATGAGAGAAATTGCGGAAGAATCTTGAAGTAAATATACCCAAAGGGTGGAAAGATTTTATACAATAATTTTTCAAGGTATGCCAAAATCTGAAAGTCTAAAAAAAGTTGGTTGTTTATCTTCATTACTTATTTGTCCATCAATGACAAAAAAGCAGAAGGATAGTTTACAAGATTGGAAAGACGCTTGGCGTGGACTTTACAAATGAAATCAACGAAAATGACATAGACGATAAAAAGGAAATTGATGAAGACTTATTAGATGTGGTTCATAATATTCTTGGACTATAGTATGTTTTGTTTTATGATTCTTTATCCATTGCAAGTGAAATGTTAATATATGTGATTTACATTTTTAGTATTGAAGCTTTTGAAGCTCCATATAATGTACTGAAATCAAGGGATCTTGAAGAAAAACAATTTAGCGCACAATTTATAAGCCCAATATTAAAAAAATACACTCAAGGTTGTCTGTTGCATTGATTGGAGGGGTTACATCATGATTTATCGTAATGCAAATATAAATCCATTTATCGATAGAGTATTGACCTCAAAGCGTGCAGATGGACTTGCTCATCTCTGAGAGGATCATAAAGATGTATTTATATATGAGCAAACGGAACCTCCAAATTTTGATGATATCACGGAATTTCATGTCTGACTATAAGTTGGTTAGAGCTGTGAGATGTGTTAAACCAACGCATAATTCTTCACCTTAAAAGTGGGATGTACGATCACAAGGAACTAGCAAGTTTTTGGTGCTTTTAGTCATCAAACTGAGTATCGTTGTATTGGTGTACAATACATCAAAGGGCATATTGTATTCATGAATATGGAAGTTTTAAGGTTCCTATAATTTCTCAGGACCTCTTTGTTCTATCTGAGGCGATTATAACATGCCTTAAATTTTTTTTATAGTATAACAGATCATATTTCTACTTTATTACAGGTTCACATTTTAAAGCAAAACCTGACAACACCAAATCACCTTTAAAGCAAAAGAAGTAACAATGCGGTACGTCGTTGTAAATAAAATAGAATTTGCATCTAATAGTCATAAGATATTAATTTCTCTTAATAAATTAAGTTTCGCTCACGTTGAACTTGGAATCTTTAACTGTAATATGTTGTTGGTACATCCGGAAAACAAAAATGTTTGTATTTTGATTTCACAGTCTTTACGTACTAACCCACAGACGAATCACATTTTTTTATGTAACATAGGTAATATGAAAAGACTTTATTCATCCAATTTTATGGACTTTGGATCATCTATTAGCCGATTATCTGGGGGTTTAAACATATCACAATTACACGAAAAGTATTGTATATTTAAACTTAATAAAAAAAAATATTTTAAAAAAATTTTTAATAGAGAATGATAGATAATTTTGTTTTAGATAAAAATTTTCATTAAAGAATTTCTTTTAATAGGGAGATAATTTTGCTGAGAATTTTTTTTTTTTTTTGATAGAAATTTTATTGTAGAATTTCTTTTAATAGGAGAGAAGTTTTTTTGATATAGAAATTCTTTTTAATAGGAAAAATGAGTTTTTTGATGAATTTCATTAGAGAATTTTCTTTAATAATAGAAGAGTTTTTTTTGATGATTTGTTGGTTGAAAAGTTTTTTTGATGGAGAATTTCGTTTAGAAGTCTTTTAATAGAAAATTTTATTGGAAATAATTTTTTTTTAATGAGAGTATTGAGAATATTGAGAATTTTGGCTTGAAATTTTTTTTAATCGTTAGAAATCTTTTTTTTTTATAAAAATGTTGGAAAATTTATATAATAATCAAAAATTGGATACGATTTTTTCCTTAGATATAACGTTGTATAGAGATAAGCTCAACCAATCAAATTCAGTATATATATATATATATATAAAATCAAATGTTTGCCATCTCTATCATAAATTAAATTTGCAGCTGGTCTACTTTATAAATTTTTCTTCTTTTTTATTTAGTTAAAAATTTTATTCAATTTGTAAAGCGTCTGAACGGTTATGACACCAAAAAATTATTCCTACGTGATAAATGATTTTGATCATGTGATTGTGAAAAAAGATCTGGCTATTGTCACACAGCATAGCATTTTGGCTAAAAAAATTTTTTTTTAAAAAAGTAAATTGCTATAATTTATTCATAATATGAATCCGTTAGAGTGGTTTGGTTTGCATTGCTCAGTATGTGGTAAAGGGAAGACAAATTTTAATTGGTGTCGTACATGTAATGCAGAACATTTTCGTCAAAATTTTAAAAACTGGACAAGTGGTAACAAAGATATTGATAAATTTATCCAAGATGCTCAACTATTAGCAGGTGAAGATTTCGAAGTATTAGAGTGGATACCTTATGAAAAATTTTATGATGTTAAATTTATTGCAAAAGGTGGGTTTGGTGAAGTCTATAAAGCAAAATGGACCGATGGATTGATAAAAAAATGGGACGATAAAAAACGAGATTGGGAAAGGCTTCGTGCAAATGATTTTGTAGCTCTGAAAGCTTTAAGCGATTCAAAAGATGTTTCGTTAGAATTTATCCGTGAGGTTGGGATATATAAATTTAATTTTATTATTAATTAAATTTTAGGTATCATTTTTATTAATATCCATTATATATATGTAGATTACTTTTCATAGGGATCTTAATTCAGGATCTATTATTAAGCTATATGGGATAACTCAAGATCCAGAAACAAAAAATTATATGATGGTTTTAGAATATGCAGAGAATGGAGGTTTACGAAATTATCTAGATCACAATAAGTTAAATTGGGAAAAGAAGATTCGTAATATACATTATATTGCTCTTGGGCTTGTTGAAATACATCAAAAAGGATTAATTCATCGAGATTTACATATTGGAAATATATTAATGAATGATACTAACACTTGTATAACTGATATGGGATTATGTAGACCTGCTGGTGCATCAGACAAGACAGCGATTTATGGTGTTTTACCTTATATAGCACCTGAAGTTTTACGTGGAAAAAATTATACCGAGGCTTCTGATATTTATAGTTTTGGAATAATTATGTATGAAATAATTTCTGGCTTACGTCCTTATAATGACGTAGGCCACGATGAAAATTTAACTATAAGTATTTGTCAAGGACTTAGACCAACATTTAATATTAAAGTACCTCAATTAATTAAGTATTTAATTGATGAATGTTTAAACGCAAATCCTTCAGATCGACCAACAGCAGAAGAAATTAAATCAATTTTATGTACATGGTGGGGAGAAATTGATGATAATATGAATAATCCAAGTATTCAGAGTGAATTAATTAGGCAAATTAGAGAAGCAGAAAAGATCAATAATGATAATTTTAGTAATTTATCAACTAGCGGTAGAGCTTCAGATAGTTGTATTAACTCGTCAACATCTCCAATATATATATCAAGTAGAACACATCCTGAAGCCTTTTATGTAAGTAGGCCATTAAGTTTCAAGAATCTTCCTGAACCAAAAAATTCTGATATTTCTTATAAACGATATACCACCAAGGATAGCATGGGTAATCAATAATTTAATAAATAATATTTATACTAATTGTACCAGTTTAAGATTAAAATAACTAATGAATTGATTTTATTTAATAGAATATTGTCGAATCAATGTGGAAAATAACAATACAGGTAATAATACATTTTTATAGTTTTTTCGATTTATTTTTTTCGATTTTATATTATTATTTTTTTTTTTATAGGACGATTAGAATAAAAAGAAATTTATTAAATAAATAATTAAATATCGTATATATAGGATAACTATTAAAAAAAATTAATCTTATCAAACATTTTATGTAAAATTCCAAGAAAATAAAAAAACAATGTAACATTTGATTTTCTTTAATAACAGAATCTTTTTATTTATTTATATAATAATAATAAATAATAATAATAATTATAACTATAATTATAATAAAAATACTTTAAATTACCTTGCAAAAAAGGTACGAGACGATTACAGTATTATTTTTTAATTCGAATTTTTTCACTATAATCATTCATTCATGTCCAATCCTCCTTCTGGCAATATTTGCTACAATAATATACCGATTTACACCTTGTACAAAAAGTACTGGTCGCGTCTCCACGTCGTTGCATCTTTTATATCATCACAACTATTTTCAGTTTTATCATTATCTTTGGTCTTCAAGACATCAACCCAAGTGTAATGATCTAAACTCTTTTGGGTTACTTCGAATAAGGTTAGTCTCTGCAGCAGTAAGAATTTTAGCCGGACCGATATTACATTCTGAAATCCAATCTTTATGAATATCATAAAATGGAACTGGGAAATGAAATGATATAGCAATTATGGGTGCCTCAGTAGCATTTAAGGAGATGCTATCAAAGTAATAGTAAGTTGACTCTTGATCATTTTTATTACATCTTCCTTTCTTGTTCTTTTCTTTCTTTTTGAAGCCATAGATCCTAGGGATCAGCTTGATCAATAGAAGCCATATCTCAGCTTTTGAATGGTATCAACCAAGAATACACAAAAAATACAGGATGTTGGGTAGACATCGTCTTCCATCGTAGGAACTGTTAACATTGTGAAATTAAATTTGTTGCGTTTTAATCAACGTGTATGTGATCTTGTAATTCCTAAAAAAAAAGAACACAATTATTCGGTCTTGATTGAACATCGTGATTCTACTTTAATGTGAATGCAATATCTCATCCTTCTGGTTGTCGGTTTTTGTTTCCTGTGATTTCTAATTGTCCAGATGAACTTGCTTGTCGACCTCACTTTTCTAATCCTATGAAAGAATAAGATCAATATCACAACTGGGTGTAAAGAATGGCAAACATCTACAGCATAAACGTCAGATTTCTGATTCATTCGATCATTTATTCTTGCAGTTTAAAAATCTTTTCGTAAAGAAATTATGTTAATAAAGAATGTCTCATGTGTGGCCTAATAATGCAATAAATTTCATACTTACTTTTGCCCGTTTTCGTATCTTTAACAAAGAATCCCAATTATTTTCAAACTTGCACTTGCTGATAAGATTATTTGAAGACAAGTAAGTCAGATAGTAACTATTACCAGACATAACAATAGATAGGAAACCATACATTCTTCTGTTCATGAATTTTACGAACATGATAAATGACATCATAATTGATATATCTGATCGTAGCTATCTTTGGTTATAAATCCCAAGTACTTCTTGTGGCGTCGTATTAGGTTTCTGCCATATATAAATTTTGTAAAAAGTTCAAGATTATTCCATCTCATCAAGACTGTCTTATGGAAAAATTGGCTAATTCCCGAATTTGACTGACAAAGGTTTGAATCAAGCCTGAAATTGACTATTTTGCCCTGTTTTTTGCAAAAAAAGAGGCGTCATGTTAACAAACGATACCAACAGATACGCATGCCAATATTCTTTTGTAGCCTCCATCCGGGTACAAGTTATTCAGTCGCAATCATGCGGTTGAACACATGAGAATTCGAGGCAATCCATAACATATGCCCTAGCTGTCCTTTTCGTCGGTGTTGAACGATCAGGCAGAATAGTGGAGCTTCTGGACACAGACCGATACTCTCCCAGACATAAGCTCTTTCCGCCAACCTCCATTCTTACATGTATGTTGAATACGGAAGATTTGCAAGTAAACCTGGGGCGTTAGAATCCCAGTATCCTTTCAAGAAATCCGCCCTTCGTGTTGAATCTCCAGGCTGGGCTTGATGATTCCCATGCAACAAGAAGAGGCGCGTGTATATAAAAACAGATACTTATATCGACATTAATAAATACTTAGCTTTTAGAAACTTTTAGAATGGCGAAATTTGTTTTCTCTTAAAATAATACCGTATATTTTTCGTGAATTGGTATACAGTACAATATATAAGAAATCGATTGTCAGATTTCATATTACACTAGGGAAACGGGAACCGTTGTAAGTCCGGAGCAATAAGTCGTTTCGTCACCCAAAAGCTGCCTAAAATCTGCAACTAAAAAAACAAACAAAATATTAGCAGACGTTACATTTTGTTAAAAATAAAAAAAAAAGACAAAGAAAAAATATTTAAACACATACCGTAATGCATCTAGGGAGAACCAGATTTCCAACCTTACCGAAATTCATGTCCATAGATATTTGAAGAAACTGTCTAAAAAAAAGTAATAAAACGAATTGTTACTAGTAAAAGTTTCGTTATTTTGTTGAAACAAATAACAAAGTAAAAAAAATATCTTACCTAAATCTAACGCGTCCAGATGACTCTAAAAAAAGTGAAGATGAATGAAATATTAGCAAACATTTCGCTAAAAGAATTGATTTAAGTAAAAAGAATACTTCACTTACCAAAATATATGTCCAAGAGACTCAAAGAATCACCTACAAAAGAAAAAAAGAAAGAACTATTAGTAACATTTCATTAAAAGAAAAATAAAAAAAAAAGTCTGAAAGGGCCAAGTTTACACCAAAATTTATTCATAAAAAACCATTTTTCCTTGGCGCTGCTGGTAACTTTCAGTATTTTGTTTTAAACATCAACCATCTAAAAAAAGAGAAAAATTGAATGTTAACAATGCTTTGTTAGAATAAATAAATTCGAAAAAATACATTTGCAGATGTTCTCACCAAGTTTCTATGTATCCAAAGGGCTAAGAAACAATGCCTAAAAAAGAAAAAAATGTTAAAAACTGGTCATCAAGATAAAAAAATTAAAGAAAAAAAAAATGAAAACCTGAAATATCACGCTCAAGGAAACTAAACACCAGAAAAGGTGAGAGAAGTAAGGGGAAGGGTAAGACGAAGGAAATAGGAAAGTACTTTTTTTTTCATGTGACTTATTTGTTTGATTATTGATCTTATCAGATGTGATACGCGGAGTAACGCGACGCGACAAAATTTTTTCAAATACAGGGTCTTTTTTTTTTATATAATGAACATGATACATTTTGCTTTATCAAGTAATCAAGGACATTGCATACAATGTTACTAAAAATAAAAAGTATAAAGGGAAATAAGCAGGGGCATTATGTTTAAAAAAGGAAATTGTGGTGATGACGTAGGTGGAAGGAAGGAAAAATTACATGGGTTAAACCGGTACTACAAATTTATCTAGTTCCGTACAATAAATAGTCCTTCGCTACGCTCCGGACAATAAAATAGCCAATCACATGACCCTCAAGCTTATAACTACATTAAGCCGTTACCCAAATCATCTAACCGCTCTTCCTGTAAAGGGACCGAAATACGACCTCCAATTATTAGCACCAACAATAGCAGATAATGATTGGAGTTTATTTACATCGGAAGATCCACAAGTAACGAGTACAAAAACATTGCCCTCATCGGTTGCTTTTTCATACTCATCGTCATACATTTTTTGGCTTCTGAATTCAGAAGTTGGACTCAATATAAAGCTTAGGAGAGTTTGTGCAGAAAATCGGGATATATGAATCTCCTGAAGGTCCATTGATGATGCAAGCAGATGCATCCTCAAGACGAAGTTTAATTGGATTACCTCCTTTCTTACAAGTTACCGATTTATTGGTGGAATAAGCGTTCGATTTGGTACTTTCTCTATTATAGATAGCCTGCTCTAATGATAATGATTTATTTATAATGGTCTCTTCACCAAAGCTTTGTTTAGCATCAAAATATCTTTTAGTTTTATCTGTTCATCCCTTCCAAATATTTTTGACTTGATAACACGAAAAGAGGCAACAAAATGTTAACCAGGAGGAATAGTTGGGTCTTGGTCTTCTTGGGCCTGTAGTTCACTATAATACTTAAAATTCTAATTACGTAGAATACCATCATCATCTGATGCATTTGCCATTAACCACAACCAGATATAAGGACACGTTAAAGTTCCTTTATTGCTCAATTCATCTTTTTCTCAAATTTGGTTGAAAGTTCTTTCGGGAGAATATTGATGCCAGGAATAAATTTTGTTGCCTCCAAAGTAGTGTGTGTCAGAATAGGCTGAAGGACAGGTGCTAAATAATCAGTTTTACTAATTCCAATTACCATAGTGACATTTAAGTTGATAGAATACTGTTTCTGCAATCGAAAGAAAGTTGATATTTTCGAAACTTTTAAAATCTTTTACAGCCAATTCAAGTGCCCCTAAAGCTCTACCATTACCACCCATATCGTCTATTAACATCCTGAGAAGTGGTGTATCCTCAAAGACATTTCCCTCTTTTTGGAGGATCCAAAGGACGAATGGGAAGAAAAACTCGGAGTTGATTATATTCAGAAACCATTTCATTAAATGGACGTGCGAAAGTTCTGTGCAACATGCAATGATTAAGAGGGTTATCATTGTTCGTGGCGGCAGCAGATATCTCTGTCAAAAAAGAATAATACACTGATTTTTTGTCCTTGTCATCATTTTCATTGATTAGAGCAATTTGCATTCCATCAACAATGAGGATCACAGGAAATAAACACATTATGTAGCTTGTAGCTATTCAAAAAATTTTTCCGCGTTGAATTATGATTATCGGTCACACAGCGTAGTAAAAAAATCCTATCATCTTTAATACTATAATTTATTTATATTACATTATCAGTTAAAGTATAAATTTAGATGATGCTGTTAAATATATGGTAAAGAAAATACCGGTGTCGTTCATGTAATAGAGAACATTTTCAAAAATTGAGCAAGTGGCAATAATGGTATTAGCTATTATCAGCAGGTGTATATACTATATAGTATTAGAGTAAATACTCTGAATTTATTGCAAAAGGTGGGTTTGATAAGGTCTATAAAGTAAATGGACTGATAGATTAATGTACAAAGTACAAAAAAAAACAAGATTGGGTGCAATAGCTTATAGCTATAATGTTTAAAAAATTACCTTATTAAAATTTATATTGATTTTATTTAATAGAAAATAATGGCGCAGGTAATTAGTATTTAAATAATGAATTAGATCATTGAATAGGATACCGTTAAAACTTATTTTAAATAAAAAAAAAAGGTAAAAAGTAAAAAAAAAATCCTGCTCAAGAAAGATAGCGTAAAAATTATAATATAGCGTTTTGATTCTCTTTATTTTAATTCATGATAGTAAATCTCTTTTTCTAAATATATACAACTAAAATACTTCAGATTACCCGAGAAAAAACTATAGAACCATAACGATTACAGCATATTATTCAGTAGTACTTTGAGTACAATCCTCCTTTTTGTGTCTTTTCCAATCATTCTTCTGGCAATCTTGACTACAATAATATACCGATTTACACCTTGTACAAAGTTTGCTGGCCGCATCTCCACATCGTTTACATACTCTTGCATCTTTTATATCATCAATATTATTTTCAGGTTTGTCGTTATCTTCTGTCTTCAGGACATCAACCCAAGTGTAATGATGATTCAAATCCTTCTGAGTTACTTTGGATAAAGTTATCATCCTTGCGGTAGTAAGAACTTTAACCGAGCCGACATTACATTCCAAAATCCAATCTTTATGAGTATCATAAAATGGAACTGAGAGATGAAATGATATAGAAATTATAGGTGCCTCAGTAGCATTTAAGTAAACACTATCAAAGTAATAATGAATTGGCTCTCGATCATCTGAAGTATTATTATTATTACCCTTTCCTTTCTTGCCCTTTTTTTTCTTTTTTGGAGTCCTAGTACCCCCATTAAGAGTCGGTTTGATCAATCGTAGCCATATTTCCGCTTCTGAATGCACCATAGCAAACATATTATTCTTATTTATCTCATCTGTTTTCCATCTCACAAAATATCTGGCAATAGGCACTTTTAGATCTTTAAATTCATCAAGTTTCATAATTATTGAAGAAGACAGATGCATCATCATAAAAGTTTTCAACTCTACCGAATGCATTTCAAAATTTTTGACATGTCTTATAAATCCTTCAGTTGCAAAAAGTAATCTAAATAATTTTGCTATAGTTTTTTCAGGAAATCGAACAATCATTATTTGAAACAGACGCACGAGAGTATTGATACTAAGTCCTTTAATGCGTGTTGTATGGTCGGTACAACAAGCATTTGCAACCGATATTACATCCATCATTAATGTAACAGGTTTTTTCTCTATATCTTCGGTTTTATATTTTATATCAAATTTCCATGTGGAGTATACGGCAAAATCTTTATAGTAAGAATCTATATATGTGATTCCTGTCAAAGATGCAATGACATTTAAATTCACACCAAGTCGTTCCTCTACAAACTCGTTCATAGGTTTGGAAGGTGATTCACGTAATCTCATTAGCTGTAAAGTTAATAGAGAGTTATCCATTAACCTAGGTGCAGCGGAAAAAAGTATATTGAGGATTGACACATAATCAGCCAAATTAGAACAGTCAATGGCATTAAATCTGACGGATGAAGGTAATCGATAAAGTAGAGTGTCAATGACGTCTCCTAAAATTGGCACAACATGCATTTGGACTGAAGAAGACTCATGCAATGATGCACGTAAAGAAACAAACTTCGGCAGTAAGGTCAACAATAAACGATCGTAAAGTGTTAATGGTTGGTCTCCAGATTGCAGGATACAATCATCGATTTGAAATGCACGAAAAATATTTAATGCTGGATAGACGTCATCCTCCATTGTAGGAACTGTTAACATTGTGATATTAAACTTGGAGCGATTTGTTTCAGAATATGCAAATCTATATTCATCATCACAAGATTGAGCTTGGGCGCTAACTGGCAGTCGATAACGGGTGTATATGTTAATATCTTCATCTGCGTGATGATGTTTTTTAAGGTTTTCGAAAACCTCAGATTCTCGCAAATAAGTTATCCTAGAACGTTCCACCTGCCTGGTTTCCCAATTTAAAGCTGCAGGTGTAGGTGATTTTTCTTTCCAATGTCGCAATGTTCGTAATATAAAAGACGCTGTACTCGGTGAATATTTAAATGAAATCCAGGAGGGAAGTTTCTTTTTGAAAACAGTGTTATTGTTTGTTTTTATATTATTTTCAAGAGATTCAATTAGACTATTGATACAATCATTTAGTTTATGAAAGGTATTGGTATTAATATTCTTCTCGCCCCATACTGAAAGAATTTGTATCGCACCAACAACAAAATCTTTGTTCCATTCGTTGTAAAAACTTTCCAAATTTGTGAAAGATGGTTTCGGGTCTGGCAACCTACTAATCATTTCAAGAAGCACTAAGTCCCGTGTGAGTATTGTCGAATTGAAGTCATTGATTGTAAAGTGTAAATTGACGTTGTAATTTTCTGAATGACATTTCAATGACATTGTAAGACCATGAACAGTTTCAACGATATTGCGCAAATCTCCAATGCCACCTAAAAAAACAGATAATTGCTTATTTTTGACTTTTTGAGTATCATAAGAAATCGTTGGAACCTCTGCAGTGGCTGTAGAACTGATGAAAAGATCATCTTTCAACAGATTGAATCCATATGTATTACCAATTGCATAAAGACTAGGATCTTCTTCATAAAATAAGTGTATTCCTGGACGATTAGAAGAGACGTTAAAATTAACAAAGTTCTTTTGATCTGAGTAATTATCTCCAATTTCATTGTTAACCATTTTGACTGGAACGGACAATTGCTGCACATCCACTCCGTATTCTTTCGCTAATTTATTGTAAAACTTATCATTTAACTGTATAATATTTTTCTTATTAGAATAAATTTGATTGTTCTCCATAATTATTTTTCCCTGATAGTTTGCGCCAATTTCAATACCATCTGATTTATTATGATGAATCATATTATTAATAAGAAATGCATCAACACCTCCTTTGATAATACATCCAGTAACACCATTATTTGCAATTTCATTTTCTTCCATTCGCACGTTAGCCTGAAAATCTGTTGAAACACCAAAAGAACCATTTTTTAAGATCTGATTCTTTCTTAATACAGCGATTGTTTGTGAAGGTTTAGTGTAATTTGATGTAGGTGGTGGTTGAACTGTATGTTGCGGTGGGTTATTAATATTGAGTCTTTTTGATAAGGCTGGTTCACGATTACCACTGATAAGAATTCCTTCTCCGTGATTGCCATGGATAATATTATCAACTAGTGTAACTTCATTGGCGTCTAACCATGCCAAAACACCTTGCCTGTTATGGTGAATATCATTATTTTCAGCATATAGACTTGATCCATATCGTATTTCAATTGCACTTGCTCCAATATTGTATAATTCACAATTTTTAATATAGGCTTTACTATCAATATCAACCGAAATACCACCGGCATTTTTTGAATTGGCAACAACACATTTATTCATGAAAAGTGTTGATTTACGACCATCAATACAAACAGGCGGAAACGTTCCAGAGCATTTGGTGAACCAGCAGTTGTTCACGAAAACCTGAGAGGTTCCCATATATAGAGAGTTTCCTCGAGTACATTCGACATGAATATTATATAGTACAAGATTACTATCAAAACCTCGAAATACAAACTGGCCAGAATTCTTTATTATCACCCTTCCAATTCCAATGATAATGATGTTTTTATTTATCATGAATATCGTGTTTATATATGTACCAGGCTCAAGAACCAATACTACATTTTTAAACTGAAGCCAATCAAGTAGTACTTCTTCAGATCGATTATGTCTTCTGATAACCTCCGGGGTTGAAAAGGGCATCCTTTTACATTGTTGGATAAAAAATTCGTCTTCACGAGAAATTTCGCCCAATGCCAGAGAAATTAAAATATTAGCATATGCACTAAATAGATTATTATTTGTAGCATGCAGTTTTGCAATCATGTTGTAAGCTCCTTTATTACACATTGCATCTAATCCAATTGATGTATTGAGGTAGTCCAAAACTTGAGGTTGTTTTCCTTCTTCTGACATACCGGTAATACCATTTTCTATAATGGCTTTTGCAAGATTGAAATAAATTGTTGACAATTCTCTTCGTTCTTTGAATGAAAGAAGAGAGAATGAAGACTCTGGAAGGACAAAAGAAGTATCTTTAAACGCTTTAGGATGTTTTTTCTGGAACCTTTCCAGTTCCTGCATGTAAATTTCGAAAGTATGTTCGGACTCCATAAATCAAAAAATATTAACAACCGAGGTGGGATTTTTATTCTCAATTTCATGAGTATCCCTTTTTCTTTTTGAGCGCAAGATCATCAATCTTACATGTGAAGATTAAAGTAAAATTCATTTTAACCAAATTAATTTTTGTGTTTGATTTTCGTGTTGCAAAACCTGTAAAATTATGATCAGTGATCATCCATAACTGTTGATTTTCCGCAACAGCATATGATAAGTTTTGATTATATTACCTCATTGCATTATTATATATTGTTCTGGTAATTTATTTTTTGTTAGAATTAGGATGAATTAGGATAAAATTTTAAATTTAGAACATATTAACTGGTGTACTGCCTTTTCTTTCTGCAACAAATGAATCTTAACGTTAAACATTCAGACAAAATGTTTACAATAAAGCTTATTGGGAACTGAGGATGTAACTAATATTTAATGAAACTTTAAATTTATTTATGTAGATGACGATGTGACATAGGGACCTAAACAAAGGATTTAATGCAATAACACCTGTATAACTACTAATACGGGATTATGTATATTTGGTTATATGGAACCTAAAATTTTATGAAGATAAAAATACTGAGGCTGCTGATATCCATAACAATAATTATGTAATATGAAATAGTTTTAGGATTACATAATTTAGACCAAGGTGAAAAGGATAAATCTTTCAGATTGAAAATTAAACATATCTTTGCTGATATGAAAATATGATTCATTTCTGTTAACTCGATGTTATCAAAATATATTTAAAATATGTTAGAAATATGAAATAGGAATGTTCTTGTTATATATTGAAAATATGCAGAAAATATAATAAATCAAGAATATAACTAATTTGCACCCTGGGTGATTTGACAATTTTTCAAATCTCAACTGCAATAAATCACATGATACTCCACAGGTATATAAATTCCGTCCGTTATTTTGTCTTTGTTGGTAGATGATTTAACTTAATAATTTTTATATAATTTTAATATAATTCATAACTAACGGGTTGGTTTACCTAGGTGATTTCACCCACATGATTTATTAAATTTTATTGGCTAATTAATGTGCAGATCATTTCTTAATGTTTATTTTTTTCTTTAAATAACTTAAAAACGAAGTTCTTTTTATTATTTTCTTGCTTTTCACTGCTTTTTTACTTTTGCTAATGTTACTTTCAGAGGGTTAGATAACTTCACTTAAAATAATTCTATTGAACTTAAAACAGCAGGTTTGTTCTTATTTTATTATTTTTGCTATATTTTGTGCTTTTTTATATCAGTAATAACATTAGATTTCTTTTTTTTTTTTAACTTTCACGCCATTCTTCATTGTATCATTTTTGTATATTTTGGTGGTGTATTTTTCCTATCATTTTCGCGGTGCTTTACTTATCATTTTTATGGTATCATTTATATTTTTATGGTGTTTTTACTATCATTTTCGTGGTGCCTTTCTTATTACTTTTGTATATTTTGGTGGTATGTTTTCCTATCATTTTCGCGGTATTATTTTCGTGATATTATTTATATTTTAATGGTGTTTTCACTATCATTACGTGTTATCTTTCATATTTTTTGTGGCATTTTTTTGTTCCTTTTCATTTCACTTTTGATACAATTATTTCAAATTGTACAATTAAAAAAATTAGCTAATCATTGATTAAATAAATTTTAAAATTTACAGTAAATATTTAACCAATCAAATTTAATAAATTAATTAGAAGTGAAATCACCTGAGTGAAATCACCTTTAGGTGATTTCACCCCGGGTGCAAGTTAGCAACACTATTTTTTTTATATAAAAATCTTTTTATAAAATTCGGGTAATGAAGTTTCAAACTTTTTTATGAAACTCACTTGAGAATACAGTGCCCACGTAGGAATCAATTTCCCTACAAAAAACAGAAGTTAAAAGAAAGCTTTTTTTTAAAAGTTTCGAATTTTTTTATTTTTGAAACTTATCTGGGATTCTGGTTCCTGATATTCCACAAAAAAAACAGATAAAAATAAAGTTAAAAAAACTTTTTTAAGTTTTGAATTCCTTTTTTGAAACCCGGTTCCTCTTTTGAAACTTAACTATTCCACGCGTCCAGACTCATCTATAAATAAGAAAAACTGAGGCGATTTCTCACCAAAATCTTATCTAAAAAAGAAAAAAAAAGAAATTAGTACCCGTTTTTAAAAGATAAAGAAATTAAAAAAATAATACACTCACCAAAATCCCGCGTCCAAAGAGAGCAAAGAGAGCGAAAAGTTACCTAAAGAGAAAATGAAACGAAACATTAATAATTGTCTAAAAAAAGAAAAAAGTGAGGGAAGTTTACCGAAAAAAAGTCTAAACTTTTTTAAATTTTTAAATTCCAGCCCGCCATAAGTGAGTCGCCTTGCCTTTTATTAACCCCTAACTTAAGGCACAGCCAGTTCTCCACCCATATATATAAAGAAAGATCAAAAGAAGAAATACAACTATCCAAATTAAATTAAACAGAAAAAAAAAGAAAAAATTAAAAAAAATAAAATATTTTCCATTAATTCAATTGGAATAACTACTGTATATATATATATATAAGAGGACCATCCTCCTGCATGCAAATAAATCGACGTTAGTAATAAAACAATCCAGCGAGAAATGAAATGATTCGATTTAATATTTTCATTCGAGTAAGTGGCGTGTGTTTGGTTGAAGCGATCCGTCAATCCATCAATCTGCCAATCCGCGGATTTATCCGATTTGAAACCATTCGGATTGGATCCGGATGAAGATACGAATGATCATATTAGCAAATGTTATATCAGGCAGCCACTGGATTGAAAGCAAGACAGGAACGAGACAAATGGCAATTGGCCAGGGACCTAAGTCACCTAACTAAAGAAGAAAAAGAAGACCAGTAACTATGATTTTTTGAAGAAACTTCAGAAGGATTTTGCTGCGGCTTTTATTAAAATCATCAAAATCACGCAAAACTGGAAAGTGATAGGATATTTTAATGATCAAAAAGGAATGGAAAATGCTGTGGAGCTTTCTTTGAAAGACAACGATCGAGAAAAGGTTTGGATGGTAAGGAATTTCAAAACGGTATATAGAAACATTAAGGGTACAGAAGGATAGAAGAAGTTCGAGAAGAGTAAAAGCAAGTCACCTGTACGTAACCCAGAGGTGAATATTCTGACACCACAGACGCCTCCAGATAGAGTTTATATGGGGCTATCAAATATGGCAACAAGGAATAAACAAAATTTGACACCTACGGAAAAGGCGCAGATAGAGATGGAGAAAGATTTACCAGATGAAGAGGAAATCGTGAATATGATAAAGGAATGGCGAGTAAGAGATAAAGAAGAATCAGGCGAAAGCGATGATGATCTTGGGTTTAATAAATTAGAAGAATTAGCTAGTAAACCCTTGAAACATGATAATGTAGCGACGGACGAGGTTGTCAAGATCATAAAAGAATATCGATCAAACGAAAAAATCAAGTACGTTCCTTATCATGCATCGACAAATGAGTCTGAAAAAATTTTAACATTAGGGAATAAATTGTCGGAATTGGAAGAAATTTTTGACAAAACTTCCAATGAAATGGAATGGGAGAATATTAACTTAGAAGCATTGCGCATAGTGAGAGAAGAGAACGATTTAGATGCTTTGAACATGATATTCAAAGATTGGGCGATGAAAAAGAACAATTTTCTTTGGGTCAGAAAGTCATCAGTTTGGCGGAACAAAGCAAAATTTTGAATGAATATACCTCGCTCAACGATGATTTCAAAATAAGACTGAAGGATGAGAATCGTTTGACTGATGAAAGAGAAATTGGAGAGAAACACCCGATTTTGGAGTCACCACCACCACAAAGTTCGAAGAAGAACGAGAGAGAGGAAGAGGAAGAAAAAGCAAGGATAGGAAGAGGAATGGAAGGAATTTGAGTGCAGAGATTTTGCATTTGTTAGACAAAGTCACGTGATTTTCACGTAAAAAATTTTACCGATAGAAAACATTAACTTTGAAGCCTTATCTCAAGCTATAAATGTTCTAAAAATTATATTTAACTGTTTTGTTTAATAATTTAGGTTATCAATAATTAAATATAAAAGTATTGTAGCAAAATAAAATGCGGTTCCAAATTTAGCCTTAGGCAATAATTCATATATTTGCTGATCATCTGCTAATTTGACTTTAAAGCTTCGGGCCAAGCTATGTAACTTCGGGCCAAACTTGAAACTTTCACAGTATGCTATTTAGGTATTCAAGAATTAGTGGCTAAAATAAACCTGAATAATTTTTGATAACCCGAAAGTTATCATTAAATAAATATTTACAATTATTGTAAAATTAATATATATCTGATATTTGACAAAATCTTTATGAATTATTTTAAGAACTAATTTATTAACAATAAATAAAATAAAGTAAATAAAATCGAAATTTTATACATTATTATGCATTATTATGAAAAATTAATCCAACAGTATTTTTTTATGTGATAATATTGGACAAGTGATCGGCAAAATGATCGGCAATATCGGGGACTGTTGGGTCCCGTCTGTATTTTTGCGGCTTAGGTTTCAGTCTTATAACGAATTTTCTCTCGTAATTTTTTTCCCTGCAAATATTTTTAGTAGATAGAATTTTAGTTAGGTCCAGCTTAGTTTAGTTTATTTTGAGGATTGGGTTTGTTTTTTTTTATTTTCTATCCTTAATGAAAGAGATGCATTACAGTTTAAAAAAAAAAAAAAAGATACGAATGATATTTCTGTATATAAATCCGTTTGATTAGTACTTTATAGTAACGGATCCATTCGGATAGTCATCCGCCGAATCATCCATTTATTAACGGATTGGATTAAACAGATGATGAATCCATCCGGATTGTAACACTACCCTCGACTTATAGTTTTGATATGACGAAGGTGATGTACTGCTAGTTGTCGATGAACGATTCCTTTTATTTGTGATGTCTTGCTTTTTCTTTCTTGACATGATACCCATGGATTTTTCCCATTTAACCAATGCCTCGCTATGGTAGGCCAGATGAATTTGTAGAGTTGCGCATTCAAAGCTGTAAAAAAATCTATTGGAATTGTTTCGATAGTGAATATTTAATGCTCACATATCGTTGGACTAAATCCATTGACTCTTATGGGATCAATTGATGTATATAGTAATTAAGTAAACTAGATGTGCAGTTGAGGTGATTGGTGAAAGAGGCAAAGAGCGCTAAAGAATTGATGTCTTGGTCCAAAAAGTACGTTGAAGTATTTTCTTTAATATGTGGTTCTATAAGTGTGTGTGAAATTTCGTGTAGTTGTAGTTTTAATCGGTCACAGAAACCTAAGTGTCTGCTGTCAGTTGGTGTCATGATGATTTTTGCAGATCGGCAAGGAATGGGAGTTGATGGATAAAGGAGAGGGAAGGCAATGTCTTTGTAAAATATCGCCACACGGTAAAATGTTAAGACATTTAATTTTAAACGCATCTTTCTTGCTTTTTTCCGAACTACATATGTCCATGGTTTCATTGTGTTTAATCCATTCTTGTGTGTATATCTGAGATTTGGTGTTCAGAGAATAGTTGTTGCATGACCCTATAAAAAAAGTTGTCCAAACACTGTTCAGTTTTTTGTTCGGAAAATTGACCCCGTTCCGAACATTTACCTGACATTTATTGGGCATTTATCATGATATTGTACGTATTAAATTGTAACAAATATTGTATAATAACGTGCGAGTATTCGGAAAATCGACCCCATTCCGAATATTTATCAGACAAAGATTTCTTATAGGGTGGGTTTATTATGTAAAAAGGTGTCTAAAGCATAAGCCTCAGTAACGCAAGATCCAAATTTTTTAATATCTCTGTCAATGGGGCCTAACGAGTCCCATATGGGCATCCGGTAAGAATTTCGGATTGGTTGAAATTGGTGGAATATCTAATCCTTGTTTTGCGAGCTCATCTGCCAATTGATTGAAATGAATTCCGGAATGTGCTTTCACTTTTTGGAAATTAACTGTATTAAAAGGTTATTTTGTAAAACTTTATAATTAATAATTAAACTCTAAGGAGTCTTCGTTCGTTCAGAAGTTAAACAATTAGATGATCGAAAATAAGTTGAAATAACATTTTGAGAATCTATGTAGTAGATATTCACAATACTGTCTATTGAACATATTAAAAGAGCAGTTAATACTAGGATGATGGGTAGAAGACCGTTTCTCCATTATAGATAATTGGTGGTAGGAATTTATCCGATACTTCCGCCCAGCCAAAACCCATTGTCGTTGTACAGTTAGGTGTTTCTGTATATTTGCATATTATTTAGCGAGTGATTCATCTGTGTAAAATTAAGTGTTCCGATTTTGTAATTGCATGACCAATTGCGTTAATAAAGATATATTATCTTGATGCTGTTTTTAATTTGTGTTATCGTGGTGAAGAGTGATGTTGATAATTGATCCCGAGAGTTGTTTAACGGGTGAAATGTGGAGTTATGTTGAGTAGGTTCTGATGAAGAATGATTATACGGTGTGTTGGACGCGTGTCTGAAAGTGTTAAATAAAACCAGTGTCCGTAGCGTGATCAAACTTGAAATCGGAAAAAGTAGAAAATCACTGGGATTTTACGGACTGAAAAAAAATATTAAAATCAATTCAACTTAATGAAATAGGTGTTTATTGAGGTTCTATAATTCTTTGAGTGTATCGAAATTTTGATTAATTGTGTGGTACAGCCATTAATACACATTTTGGTCGCAAATCCCTATAGTATCGGACGTGTAATGAACATCCCGGACAAGTGCTTAGTATATCGATGTGCGTTTTCTCGGTGTTAAGGTAGCCAATTCATCTTGGCTTGTTGTTGGAATAAAGTGTTCTCTATATGTAATCGATAAGACGATAACGCAAATGGGTCGTTTGAGTTTCTATATAATTCTTTATTGTTGACTGAATCCCAAGAAATAATCCATTCGTAGGTGTTTATAATGAACATATTTCTGAAATATTTGTTCTTTATTTTGTTTAGTTGTAGTCGCATTTTCAACATCATTATTATGAAAATGAAAAAAAATAATACTTAAAAAATTTTAATATAAAAAAGTGATATAGTCACAATGTATCAGACAGTATTGTAGATGTATTGCAATTTCGTATTAACGTACAACATTGTTACGTTACTAAAATAACATCGTGATACTATAGTGAAAGCGATGTCATAAAATCACAGGTTTCAGCAATGTTTATTTTTTTCGCAGCTCAATAAAAGGACTCTTTATGTACTGATATCTTACATGAATGAAACCTTT